GTTATGAATTTCTTCAAAATCCTGGGTTTTAATAAACATTGAAACTAATTAATTGATGTAGAAGATGTGAGAAAGAAAATGAGTTCAATAAATATATATACTACTACTGAAATATATGTTTTGTATTCTTTGCGAGTTTTGTGGAGTTACCTTATTAAAGATGTGGGTAATTGGGGTATTTTTTTCGGATTTTCGCGGGTAATTTAACACAGAACATGGGGCATCACTTGAAGTTTATAGTCTTTTTCTAAGAATTGTAAATGTACGTTTTGGGCGTTTTGTTTGACTTTTCTCTATTCTAAGAGAAAATACTCAATTCATGGCTCTTCACGTAGACATTTTAGGATTTGAAAATTTAGGATCTGAGTGTTTTGTATAAACTTGTTCAATTCATAAAGGAATCAGTATGTTCAAGCGCTCCTCCTAAACTATTTTATAAGTGTCTTTGGATAGAAATCTGACTGTAGCGCCATATTTTTTGTTTATTTTCAAATAATGAAAAAGAAGTTTGAAAGGTAAAAATAGAAAATTTGCATTTTCTTAATTTTCTCGGAATTCTGATGACAGAAAATGATTCATTGTTCTGTTGGTTATATAAACGCCACATTTTTACAATTTTTTTTGAGGGTTAATGTAAAAATGAGTTTTTTTCAAATATGCCATTTTTCAAAGTTTTTAATAAAATTTAAGAATTTTGCAAGCACGTAAATTTTAGTAAGGGTAGCAGCTCCGATTTTACCGGAAAACTCGTAGCGTTTATAAAATTACATTCAGGAGAAATACCGAAAAAATTAGACAAAGTGCTTTAATTATTATTCAATTGACATATCATTGCATTAAAATATTTCAGTTCGGAACTACTTCTCCTTCGAAAGATATTTTTGGATAATGTTTTACCTGTCAATTTATTTTTTATACTTTCAATTCACAAAACTTTAACTTTAAGACTTCCACATATTTTATAAGCAGCCTTAAAAAGGTGCAAAATGTATGTATGCTCCTAATTTTAAAAAGCTCTTATAGTAGTCTATAACTTGACCTTGATAAAACATTTAAAGGTCTTATAAGGCGCTGACTCTAGAACATTAAATCAGTGTCAGACCAAAGGCTCTACACAAAGTGCCTCATAAAAGTTTTAAAGGTTTTATAAACACATGTTTTAGACTACTATAAGATCCTTATAAAACTACCAACATACGATTTATAAACTAATAATAGAGCTTTTTTCTACTTCGAAGCCCCGCCTCCTGAGGCCCTTTTAGTCTTATAAGGGTTTTATAGACTGTTTTATAGAGCCAAATGGTAAAGTATTTGTTCTTCAATTTTGCGGAAGTATACCACTATAAAACTCTTATACAACTTGTTGTGTTATCCGGGGATTTGCGGGACTTGTGGAAAAAATTGCTTGTGGAAAAACGAATTCAAAGAAGTTTTTGGTAAATTCCAAAGCTAAACATTTTATCAGGAAGTTCTAGGAAAAATTGTTGAATATGAAGCACATACAAAGCTTCAGCAATTAGAGGGTGAATTCTTTTGCATCGATTGAAATGTTTTCCGTCTAAAAACTCGTTTGTTGATCCCTGCACCACAAGCTCTGCATGCACTAAAATTTGAGCCATACCAGAGCCATCGATAAATCTGATCGTAGAACTGACCGATGTTTATAAAATTTTTGTCCAGTTCAAGACCCTCGCACCTTTGAATTTCTCAAGCCATTTTTGCTATAGCTAAATGTCTCTTCCTGGCCATAATCTTGGGCTACTTCAAAAGCAATACGAAGAGTCTCAAGTACAACAGCGTATGAAGTGGGTGAAGCGTTGATGGGCGGTAAATCCACGCTGAATTTGGCTATTGTCTGTCGGCAGTTGTATCCCAGCCACATGGGACACACAAAATATGCCCTATTTGAGTAAGGTCTTTAGATGGGAGACACTGGTCTATTACTTTTCGAATATACCCAATCGGCAAGATTGTCATCCACGTCTTCGGTTTAGTGTAATGGGGTGTAATAGCTTAGTCGATCTCGACAAAACGACGTCTTTTTCGTGTTGGTTTATAATTTTCAGATGCGGTTGATGAATTTTTTACTGAAGTGCTCTCATCTTCTCTGCAGTTATGTAAAACATCAAGACCTTCTAAATTATTCGATTTGTTCAAGGAGCTTTTTGACAAAACTGGTAAACCATTCCGACCGTGTCATGAAACGTGTAATTACCTGAAGTTGTGTCCACAAATCTGTCGAAATTATCAAAAGCCAAGTGCGTGCATAAACCGCTAGTTACTTTCATACCGGAAGTCACACCTTTTTTTCCTTGAATGAAGTGAAAGTCATTTCTGTTTTTAGTTCTTCTACTAATTGATATCCAGCAGTGAGCCCGTATTTGTTCAACAATGTTTAAACTTTCCTGAAACTTGTCAAAGATTTTACTGCTAATCCTAAGGTTAGATGACTTGTTGGTTTTATTCGCTCTTTAGAAGTAGTATAAACAATGTCACTGCGTATTGAGTTTATTTTTTACCAAATTTTCGTGTGAGTTTTGTCGACGTGGATCAGATCCTTGGACAATGCCACGAATAAAACAGAAGAGTATGTCTGGAATATCACACTCTCCGCGAATAATATCGTCTTCTGTTAGCTTCTGAGGTAATTGAGTTGGTGTATTAGACGAAATGCAGCGCCGCAATTCTAATGCAACATCTCTAAATTTAAAGAAATCACTTTCTTCTGAACAAGCCAATTCTCGAGCTAATGTGCTAATGTCTGCATCGCTCCTATAGTTATATAATTCTTCTCCGATACCGTCCGGTTATTATCACGATTGTCCCTGTTTCATTAAACGCAGATATATTTTTTCGAAAAAATCGGGGTAGTAGGGAACTGATATAATATTTGCTTCGTCAAATTCGAGTACAAGAGCTTCGTAATGAGCGACAAAATTTAAAAACAGAACTTTTCCCTCTTCAATTGCTTCCATGGTTCTAAAACAGTGGTGTCCAACAGAACTTGGACAAAGGGCTACTTTGAAACTATCGCTATAATACGCGGACACCGCTAGCTTAACTTCAATCTTAACTGCGTTAACTCGTTTCGCTCTTCTTATATTCAATGTATATATTCTACTAACAGATCCTTTTAAAATATTTATTTATTATTAAAGTTTATACAGTTAAGTTAAATTGATAACAGTGCATAATATTTTAATGAAGAACATTCATTTTATTGTAAACATATCGGAATGTGCTGCAATTCGTACGATTTGAGATCGATGCAACACCTTCTTCGGAGATTGATTAACAAAACGGCAAAATTTGGATCTGAATCGATAGATATGACGTAAGTTATGTGTTTCTCGCCGTTTTCATTTGAAATATTTATTACTTTCCCTAAAAATAATCAAAAATAGTTTGCAAATCGCACCGATTTCAAATCGTACGACCCGCAGCACATGCCCAATAAACTTAATATGATCCTTGAATCTGCATATTTTCAGATAACTTCTTAAAATCTGATTTATATTGCACAGTTGTGCAGGCTAAAATCATGTTATTTTTGACGTGTTCGTCAGTCAGTACGTTTCGGTATTTGTTTTTTATAACCATTAGTTGTGAAAAAGCCTGTTCCAGAAGAGTAAACGTCTGGAAATGTTGAAAGTTTTTTTTTGTCAACTGCTCTATCCATACATCGATTTCGAGATTGCAAAGTTGTATTGAAATCATTTAGTTTTGCAGTCACGTCAGTTAAAAATGCTGCCTTTGGATTTCAGGAAAATCTCTATTTCTGTCGTTAAAGTTAAAAATATTGAGAGCACTTTACCTTGACTCACAGGCTAACCTAATATTCGCGGCTTGCGTTTTGGTACGCATGCCGTCGAATTTGTTTTTTTGCGTCACCCGAAATTGACTTGCATGCGTTTGCATTTGATTTCATTGAGCGAAACGTCAAATCAAAATGTCACGCAGAACAAAAATTGGAAATTGAGTTAGCTTCATACGCACGCCGTTCAATTTCGGTTGATCTCATACAAGTTGCATGTGCATGAGAAATTTTTGACAATAAATTGGCGGCGTGCGTGAATATTAGGTTAGCCTGTAAGCCATCTTACTTCAGAGTGGTAGAATATGTCACCGAATTCACTCTCAAATTCATCGAGCAAGGCTTTGAATTGCCGATGCTTTAACGGTCATCCGCGAATCAAATTCACAATACGAACGATCGTGCTCATAACATTGTCAAGGTTGAGTGGTTTTGCAATCACATTTTCCTTCTTTTTCACTACGTTATATATACAGGGTGTCCCAGAAGTAACGTGCCAAACTTTAGGGCAA